ACCCCCCCCCCCCCCCCCCGCACATCTCTTGGTCGGCATAGAACACCCTCCCGTTCCTCGCCGGCGCTACCCCCGTTGGGCGTTGAGACGTGTAAATCACCCCCCGTGCGCACGTCGCCGCAGGTGGCCATCCTCGTGCTAGAGCTGCGGCAGCGGGGCGTCTGCTCCCTCCCGGCCCTGCTGCGGGAGTGGCAGAGAGACCCGGCGTACCTCAAGGGCGCCGTCGAGATGTGGGTCAAGCTTGGCTCCAGGCAGGGCTTCGAGAAGGTGTGGCCGACCGCGATAAGGACGGCTGTGGCGGCGGTGGGCGGCGCCTCCGGCGCTGCGGGCGGGCGCCGGCGCGGGGTTGTTGCTGACATCTCCGCCGCCGCGGCCCCCCGGTCGATGGATAAGAAAATCGGAGCGCCCCCGCTTAAAAGGACAAAAGCCTGACGCGGTTCTGGATGTGGAGACGTGGAGACCCGAATGCTTGACCGGTGACCCCGGTCCCTTAAGACGACTGTCGGAGGTGAAACAGGGGATGAGACCCCTTTCTTGGGCTGGGTTCCAAGCGATTTGCAAGTTGTTCCCTCTGGCGTTGTGGCGCCGTGCATCCGATGAAACGTCGTTTGTGTACGTTTTTATGCATACGTCTGAGACTTGCTGACGGATTGCGTGAGTTTTGTACGGTGGAGAACGGAATGCTGTTTTCGACGTTTGTAGGAAAAGTCTCGGTACCGTTTTTCCTCCTGCGCTTCTCTTGTTTTTTCTAGCATCGCTCGTTTCCAACGTTTTGCTTCGATATGCGTTCCCCCCGTTCGTTTCTGCCGTTGTCTGTGTTACTCTCACAGCGAATGCTGCTAGTGCGTGTTGTTGGTCGGTGCCAGTTTCGTCCTGTTGTGTTGTCTTGCCTGGTCTGCATCCGTTGCTCGCTTTCCACTACGGAAAGCAGATGGTCCATCAGCTTGTCGTTGCTGTTGTCGTCTTCGCATCAAAACCCGTTCCGGTCTCTGCTCAGCTTCTTCTGGCATCCCCCAGTGTCTAACTGTGCTGGTGATTCTTCACGGGTTTGGAGGAGGCTGACATGGGCACCAACGACGTGGATAAATACGGAAGAAAACACACCCACACAAAACTGCCGGTACTGCAGCCCATGGTTCCCGCAGCCGCTGCTGCAACAAAAAAGGTATCGGGAAGCCTTATTTCTTACCCCCGCAAAAATTTTCGCACCTCACGCTAAACTCCATCCGAGATATCGCGACGGTGACCCCCCCCGCCAACACATACCCCCCCGCCTGCGCGGTTTCAGTCGCCCCGTCACATCCTCGCACGATGTGCAAACCGCAAAACCCCGACCGGCGTCGAACTACACGCCATGACCCTTGTCGTCATCGTCGTCGTCACAATATGGACATGACTACCGGGTCCGCCGTCGCCACCTTCTTCCCCTTGAGCCCGTCCACGAACGCGCCCACCTGCGACCGCAAGCAAGAGTCGGTCTTGACCACCAAGCTCACCACGCCCGCCTCCTCTCCACCGCCCCCGCCCCCTTCCCCGCCGCGAAGCACGGAGTGCACGGAAACCCCGGCCTCGGAGGCGATCGCGCCGACGGCCGAGAGCACGCCGAGGCCGTCCGCCGCCGTCACCCGCACGTAGAAACACGCCTCGAAGTCGGGCTCCAACTCCAGCGGCCGCTCCAGCGGGAACGGGGGCGGGGTGCCCGCCGCCCCCAGCCGCGCGAGGCGGACGATGTCGTTCACCACCGAGTTTGCGGTGGGGTACCGTCCCGCCCCTGGCCCGGCGTAGACGCTCTCGGCTGGTTTTTATAGGAGCGGTACCGGAAAAAGGGACAGGCGGGGGGCGTGGATGGTGATGATGGGATCACATTTTTCTGTGCTGCTGCTGTGCAGTCAGAGGGGGAGTGGATGGTGATGGAATCATATTCTCTCTGCTACTGTGCAACCAGAGGTAGGCAGGGAGCGAAGGCAAACGGATGATGGAATCACACTCTCTGTTGCTGTGCAACCACAAGTAGACAAGGAGCGAGGGGGAGTGGATGATGACGACATCACATCTTCTCTGTTGCTGTGCAGTCAGAGGTGGACAGGGAAGTCGATGGCGATGAAATCACTCTCTTGCTGCTTTGCAACCAGAAGTCGACAGGGAACCACGCAAATGGATATGATGCAAGCACCCTCTTTGCTGGTGTGCAACCAGGAGTAGACAGGGGGGCGAAGGGAACTGGGTGGTGATGAAACCACACTCTCTACTGCTTTGCAACACAGGGGGCAGATGGAATGTGAATTGTCTTCTGCTTTGCAACCAGAAGTAAAAGTAGACAGGGGACGAAGGGAAGAGGGTGAAGATAGAATCACACCTTTCTGTTGCTTTAAAACCTGTATCAAGGCCACGGGAAAGAGACACGAGAACGACACCGCCTGTGAAAGAATGGCCACTGCTGTGCCTGTCCGTCTTGCGTGCCATCATGTCCTGGCTAACATCCAAGCGATAAGACTACTGCGCTGGGGAAAAAATTGACACACATCAACCGAAACAACCTTCCCTGGCCATCTGACGCGAGCTGCTTCTTTGTCAGGTGCTATGTAATCGAGGTGGCAATCCCGAGTCTTGTCGCAAGTGCGTGCATACCAACGCGATCGAGGGTCCTCCGCTGTTCGCATTCCTGAGCAGCAGGGTTTTAGATGAAACCATCGACGAAAACAAGCACGTATTATAGTGTGAATACTATCCACTACCCTTGACTCACTTAGGTTCTCGGAGCGTACCACGACGACATTGCCCGGGCCTCGTGTAGAGGCAAGCGGCCCACCTAGCGGCACGAGCACCTGTGGCGGAACGTGTTGAAGGTAGGTGTCAACATTTTTATTTATGTATGCATGCACGAACGTTGAAAAACACAACGGCGTGAGGGGAGCTTTCTACCGCATGTGTGCAAGAGCAACGTGCTGGCGGCACGAGAGCCAGGAAACAAGGCCATGCTTCCGACGAACGCCGCCTCACATGACGCCCGTTCGACAGCGTGTTAGCCAGAAAGAACGCGCATGACGGAAACAAGGGCCAGCGGGGCAGCTTTCACCACCGCTGCTGCAATAGGCCATGCACAAACCTCGCACTTGCTAAACCTCTCGAGCTCTGTACCAGCGCGTACTCGAGAGAAGGACGTGAACAAAACATAGGAAAATAGTCGAAACCTACTCTTGCGAGGTCAGTACCTGGAATTTGTACGTCCGACCGAAAGGCGGATTGTTGTGTAGTTAATCTTTGTCCCCACACGAGAAACACCGTTCGTTCTGAACCTTATCCGGTACAGTACACCGCTTTAAACGAATTCATTGTCCCGTGGTCTTATTAGCTCGGATTAACACCACGCCGAACTATTCCCGACAAAAAAAGAATATCGGAAAGAAGAAACTAGGTTGTTGAACCAGGTCCACAAACGACGATGAGATATACACACAGTCCCATACACACAGTCCCACCGGAGAGACGAAGACGGCCAGCTTGTCCTTGCTCTCGCCCAGCGCGGCGGTTCCGACCAGCTTGATCGTGCACCCCATCATCTAGTGTGTTTCGATATGAGTACACACGCACGGTGAACAAGAGGGAGGCAGAGGACACCACTCACCATCGAGTTTTCTTTTCTGCGGCGGGGGGAAGGGGCGTGACATTTGCCGCATAAAACACACACGCATCACCATCCCATTCCACAAAGTACTGTAACCGAGGTTTCTCAAGTGCGAGGAACTGCTGAAGCCTACGCCCATGGGCACCATGGGCACCATCAAGAACTCCATGTTTTGTCGTGCGTGCATGCTGTCTGGAGTACTTGGATACAAGATCCGATCTGGAGAGTATGTTTACGTGCGGGGGGGGTTATGCTATTGGGGGTCCAAGTGCGGCCTGCTGCCGCCGTTGCCGCCGACGGCCGCGGTGGTGTGCGAAGATCAGTTGGAGGAAGCGGCAAGGCATGCTGATGCTGACGAGAATGACAGCAGGCAGGACTGCCTGCCTGCCTACCGTAGGCGTCGTGTAAGACATCACACCCCCTTGGGACCGATCTTCAAAGCTCGATTTCCCCACACCACAAACAGTGGCGGTGCCGAGAAATGGCAACGTTGTAGCCGTCTGGTCGAGAGCTTTCCGAAAACGCAAACAGTTTCATCAACGCATCCTCTTCGTCGTGGAGAAGTCGAGCTTTAGAAAATCGGTCCATCCAGCGGATTGTGGCATCTTGTGCCACCCACGGTAACCACGACCCTCTCAAGTGCGGCAACGTCCTCCCCTTGGTGAAGAACCAAGCGAATCACAGAGAGAGAAAACGACATTGAAGAGGCGACACGCGCAAGAAGGCTTGAGACGACACTGAAGGCTTCAAAACGACATACCTTGGCACAGGCGAAGTCGGTGCTGCTGAGATTGGAGATGCCTGCGCAGGGGACCTTGTCCAGAGCCACGTCCTGCCCAAACGCAAGCTTGGCGAGGAGCGCGATCTTTGCCTGCACGTCGTGTCCCTCCACGTCTGCCGTCGGGTCCGCTGGGGGGTCCGACCGGGAGTGGGGGGGTTGGGGTTGGGGGGGGGGTTACTCTCATGTTTTGCATGCCTTAGCGGTTAGACCATTGACTACGCGTCCTCGAGAGGACGAATCATTGTTCCCACAGGACCGATCACCGATGGCCAATCATTCCATCCTACTTTTCCAAAGGTGGTTCAACAACGCTCCCCCCCTATCCTACATGTATCTATCATATCTATCTTATCGTAGGGAAGAACACCTGCAAAGGACAGAAGGAGGTCGATCGGCTGTGAGTCGGTAACAAAGGTAACGACAACAACCGAATACTCCAGCGGCAATGCTGTACGCTATCACCACCGACAAACACACCACGACAACAACAGCAACACCACACCGCGTACGTGACGCAAGATACCACACATCCCCCGGACCGATTTTCAAAGCTCGATTAATCCACGACGAAGAGGACATAACAAAAAAAAAATTACGTTTTCGGAAAGCTCTCAACGAGACGGTTCCAACGTCGCAATTTTCGGCACCGCCACTCTGTGGAGTAATCGACCTTTGAACATCGGTCCAGGGGGTGGTAAATCTTTGGTCACCTACTGTATCTCTGGTCCCCTATCTTTGGTCACCCATCTCTCATGTCGCCCATCTTTGGCCACCTATCTCCGGTCACCTATCTTTAGTCGCCCATCTCTCATGTCACCTATTTGGTCACCTATCTTTGGTCACCTATATCATGTCACCTATCTCTCATGTCGCCTATTTTTGTTCACCTATCTTTGTTCACCTATCTTTGTTCACCTATCTTTGTTCACCTATCTTTGGTCACCTACCTTTGTCCACCTATCTTTGGTCACCCATCTCTCATGTCGCCTATCTTTGGTCACCTATCTCATGTCACCTATCTTTGTTCACCTATCTTTGGTCACCAATCTTTGGTCACCTATCTTTGGTCACCTATCTTTGGTCACCTACCTTTGGTCACCTACCTTTGTTCACCTACTTTTGTTCACCTACCTCATGTCACCTATCTTTGGTCACCCATCTCTCATGTCACCTATCTTTGGTCACCCATCTCATGTCACCTATCTTTGGTCACCCATCTCTCATGTCACCTATCTTTGGTCACCTATCTCATGTCACCAACGGTACCGAACAACAACAACAACAATAAACAAAACACTCAACGCACCTTCTGCGAAGCCGAGATCCTGAGCCTCCTTGAGAACCGCGGCGTAGTCGGCTCCCTCGGTCTCCATCTTCGTGAGCATGAAGTTCGTCGTGCCGTTCATGATGCCCATCACCGACTGGATAGAGTCGCCCACGTAGCTGCCCTGCATGTTGTGGATGATCGGGATGCCTGGTAAAACCGCGCGGAACGCGAAGGGGGTTCGGTGGAGGGGGTGTGGAGGGGAGGTGTTGGTGGTGGCGGCGGCGGCAGGGGAGTAGAGTGGTAATACGTACACTCGGGGTGCTTTCTTGCTTCGCGCGGTGTACACCCCTGGAAAGGTGCATCTTAAAGAGAGAAGGTTCGTTTCTAAATCGCGGGCGCCAGTGCATGCAACGGTCTTCACGGAAGGGGACGCCGGAACGCACCTCCGCACACCGCCGCCTCGTAGCCGAGCGTGGTTCCCGCGTTCTCCGCCACGAGAGACTTCACCTGGGCACGAAAAGAAAGAAACAAACAAACAAAAACATGCATCAGAAAAAAAAGGGGGGGGGGACCGTCCGTGCAGATCATGAACAGCAACACAGATTGTACGATAAAAAAAGCGGAAGCAAAACCGAAACGAGGAACAACCTGAAACAACAAATGCAGATAAGCAATTCCATGCGGGCCTGACGTGATCGGTCCATCCCTGACGTGGCGGGTCATGAGCGAAAGTGCTACACGAAAGTAAAGCACGCAAAGGAGGCGGGGGGGGGGGGGGGGCACGTACCTATCTCCACACCGAACCCCAGAACACGACGCCAACTCGCACACCCGGAATGGCAATGCGTGATATTCAAGCTTCCGGTCGTTGCAGAAGCTGTCTGTACAACAAGACGCCTCCCGAGGCAAAAGAACTAACCGTGCGAAAGCACCGTCAACTGCTGCGATATTCCGCAGAATTTATTGCACCGCCAAGGCTAATTTCTCGACACTCTTTGATGAAAAAAAAAAAGAACGACCGGCACGTCGTACAACCACCCATGGCATGCCATCCCCGTCTGCAAAGCCGGCGTTTCCCGCGATCCGCATTCCCCGCGATTATCTTACTAGGAAATACACATACCAATACAAAGAAAGAGTACTCGTTCGAGATAGGAGCACAGTCGAAGGGACAACCGAGGTATCTTGCAACACGCCCGCGCGCGTGGGTGCGCACACCGGCGGGAGCGGCTAGCAAACCCTCGTTTTACCTCGGGCAAGAGCTGGGCCAGGAGGGCCTTGTTCGCGGTGACGACGTGCTTGCCCTTCTTGAGGGCCTTGAACACGACGTCCTTGGCGTGGGTCACCCCGCCCATGAGCTCCACGACGCAGTTGATGCTGTCATCTTCGAGGATCTCTGTTTTTTTTTATATTTTATTGCGACAGACAAAATCAAGCAAGCATACGCACAAGGCAAGAAAAAGTGTCAGAGCAAGGATGCCACTTTGGACTACTGCATGAGCAAGCAAACGGGGTTGCCATAATACCGCCCAAGTATGCATGCAGTCTTAATCCTGGCTACCACATGCACAATCAATCTTCGACACAATTCAGTAGTGAGGGGCGCGAAAATCGAAAATGAGCCGCAAAACAGAAGTATGTGCAGACCATGACCAGCAGGCCTGAGCACGACACGCCCAGAAAAAAAGGAAACAACCGTCTGCAGCAGCTCAGCAGCAGCTGCGGCAGGAGCAAAAAACACTAAATAGCACAAGCGAAGCGCTGCAGTAGCACCTTGATCGTTCTATCGTTGGAAGCTGGGCTGCTAGGCACACTTCTTCCTCTCCGCGAGATTAACGCTTGGGCTACTGCTGTCTCGGCCCACGGCGCCCGTGGCACAGTTTGACTCCACCGGGGGAGTGCTGGGAGTCTTAGCGCTGCAGTCATGGAATGTACAAATAGATACACTTGTAGCAACGCTACACCGGGTAATTGTGTGGTGCGTGGAATGGATAGGTAATTTATACCCCGTTGTCTATTGTGTGGTCCTCAGGCTGGGGCGTGTGTGAGAGATGAGCGAGGTTAATACAACACAAAAATAACAGGACTTTCGTTATCCTTGGCGCGAGCCAGCCGAGTTGCCTATTGAACAACACGTCTATGCGACAGTCTACCCCCAGTTCGGACCATCCCAACGGGTACCATGTACCAGAGCTTCTCCCGGTCCACCGGACCCAGCCCCGCAGAAGACCAGTCACGGGGAAAGACACACCAGGTGGCCACAATGAGATGGGCCCAGGCGTTGCTCACCGTCGTAGTCGGTGACCATGGTCGTGTGTTTCTCGAGCTCGAAGGACCGCTTCTTGTTGACATCTCGGACGCAGATCTGCAAAAAAGTACCAACACGCGCAAAAAAAAAGATCATCTGTCCAATCGTGTCACCGCCAAGGAAACAAGGGCAACGGCGCAAAGCCGTTACATACATCTTTATCTATTCAATATCTCGGCGGGAGAGATATCTAATTGCTGAGCGTTGTGCACGCATCCGGCTGCCATTCGTGTCCCAACCTGGATATTTACCCAGATCCAAAATTTGAAGACCCAACCTGGATATACGCCAAGATGCAAAAATTGAAAACAAGGTGGCGTCACAACACCAACTACTACTATTTACATGCGGAAGAGATTTGTCACTTGCCTTGGCGATGGTGACGTCAACGCCGCCGGCCTTAAAGAGCTCCTTCTTCGTCTGCTCCATGATCTCGTAAACGCCTGTGCATACACAGGCGGCCGTGTTTCAAGTCAAACGGCCGTGTTCGTACAACACGGTTCGGTAAGACAGAACAAAATTGTGACCATTGCTGGTTCTTGCTCCAATCTGGAGACCTTGATTTGGTGATATGGTGATATCTGTAGTCTTCTCTCGGTCACTTGTTGATTGTTTTTGTTTTACACGCCTGCTCTCCAAAATCATTCGAACATTGTACTTGCAAATAGGTTATCTACAAGCGTGCGTGTTAAAACGAAGATACCTGCACGACAGGGATCACAAGGGTGATCATCTACCATCCATAACATCGATGTCTGGTAGGGACCTATGTTCAATGGCACGGAGCTCGCGATCAAGCCAGTGACCGCCAAGCTTCCGTACCCCGCCCTCCCCAGCCGAACGTGTCTGTCCCGCCGAAGCCGGGTGAAAATGCGCTCGACCTCGAGCAGCAACGACTGGCTGCTTTGACAGCGCTGCTGCTGCCGCCTAGGTTGCAGCGCAGCATGCGCGCGAGCTTGTCCCGCAAGAGGAGCAAACAGCCGGGCGGCGGCAGCCACGACGGAGGCCGCTAAATTGCGCCGCTAGCAGGCAGCCCGGCTGGGGAAGAAAACATCAGCAGGGAGCCGCTGCAATGGCACGGAGAGAAGAGAGCCCTCGGCGCCGCCGCCGCCGCCGCCGGCTACATATCGGACCGCGACATGGACTTTATGACACGCCTCATGCAGCCACACTCTGGCAAACCGCGACGCGTCGTCGTCGCCACAGGATCGTCGTGTCGAAGCCGCCGCGCCCGCGCGTCCGCTCGTATTCGAGGTCACGGGCGCCCCACCGGCAACTATGCCGACGCTGCCCGGGACGGTCTATGATAGCACAGTAGTCCACCGAAATGGTACCGCTCGGTTCTCCTCCTGGTCATCGAGAGCACGTACCAAGGAGGCTTTTGCAAGCCCCGCCGGGACCGTGTGCAACGGGCCGCGCGAGAACTTTCGCCAATCCCTTTCTTACTTACTTCCTGGGAACCGACGACGACCACTCGCAAGTTTGGTCGACTCCACATCGCAATCTCGTCACGGTGAAGGTCGGAGAGATCGCACAAGAGATCGCACCATGGATCAAACCCCTGAGCGATCTCTCCGACGCCTGTGCGAAAACCTCTACACTGCTGTCAAAGCAAGGGTCGGAGAGAAAGCACAGCAAGAGAGTGCACAAACTCTCCGCGACCTATATGAAAACCCAATTTGTACATCATTTTATGGCGGCTTTTTTTTACCGCACAGGGCTTCTGTGTGACCACGGTTTGGACGTTCTACTCGGCAGAAGCGCTGTGAGGGATCATTTAAATAAGAAAAAACACTGGCGCCTTCTCTCCGGCCCCAACCTTCGCACCCTGTAAGGGGGGAACGGTGCTGCCGGGATGATGGCATCTACATACCAAGCGGCAGCAACGTCAACAACACAAAAGAAAATCCCTCTTCGCCTTTCTCGTGCGCGACCCCGGCTGGTGCGTCGAAAGACGCGGCCAAAGGTTGAAAGGATGAAAGGGATGACCAGCCCGCACTACCTCGTTCATCCGCGGTCCGTGGTAGCATACAGCAGAAGGTACCGGCGGTGTCCGTAAATGCAAGTCAAGTGTCGTGTGATACCATTATTGATTGTTCGCAGTTCGCAGTGTCAACATCCACCATCTCCGAAGGCGGTACAGCAGTAGTAGCAATGTCCGCCTTCCCACGCCACGCCCATTCAACCAGTTGGCCAGGAAATCCACCGCAGCTACAAGCACACACAACACATGTGTCACATGTGCCACCAAGAAGCTGTGTTGTAAGGCAGCAGTAGGTAGCAACACGGGCTGCATTCGAGTCCGAACCATAATGTAGTTGTAGCATGTTTGTCGGCTTGGCTCACCTCCACCCACCGTGCCGCCGCCGAACATACCAACCTTAAGAGGGAGAGACATCGCTGCTGCTGCTGCTGTGGAGGCTCTCCTTGTCAGTTCTCTAGCTATGTGGTGCCGCGCCACGATGCTCGCTCTCTGCGATGTCGGTTGTGTATATCTCGCTCGCTCGCCGATTGGAGGGGGGGGGGACGGTTTCCCAACGTCCCCGAACCAACAAGCCTCGCGGGCCACCACTGCAACCTGGGCAGCGCAACGGCATCTCCTACAGCGCTCTCTCCGCTTGCCCGAGCTTCACGGATGGGGGAGCCCGTCGGGGTTCGCGAGAGCGTGTTTGCACTGCATCTCGGTGCCCTCTACAGTTTCTCGACCGAATCGCTGCTGGAGACAGCTGGGAGCAGCATCAACAGCGGTGGAGAAACTTCGCACTCTGCGAGATGTCTGCTGCCCAACCGTGCAACAGCGGTGCTGCAACTGCCTTGCAGCAACAACCACAACGACAGCAGCAGCAGGGACAAGCAGCAGCCTAGACGAAGCAGTGAGAATCCCTGCGGGCGCTCCGTCTCCGCAGCTGCTAGTGGACCTTCTGAACAGGGTTCCGGACATATCACAGAGGTGTTCTGCCGCTCTTTGCCCCTGTTGCGGACGCCGGCGGCGTCGCCGGCGCTGAGAACGGCGACGGCCACCGCCGACCGCAGCGACGCCCACGGTGTCGTCGACGCTTTGCGGGAGGCACTCGGGCTCATCTACGGAGGAGTGCACGTCGTGCACTCGCCGCACCAGTCACCAGTCCGCGCCGCTGCTAGCCTAAAAACCGGCGACGTTGACGTTGATGGCGGCAACAACCCCGAACGGCAAGCGCCGCCGCCGCTGTTGGAGCCTTGCACGCGGTTACACGCCGGACTGGCCCCGTTGTATTCCCCGCTCGTGAGGTCCGACGACAAAGCGTTCGTGGTGAGACGCGGATTGATCTCTTTCTCCTGACGTCTGACATTTCATTGATGTACAATACCGACCGTTTTACAGGGTTGAATGAGGTACGGCGCCGCCGGAGAGTGCCACCCCATTGGTTGAGGTTGCAAATCCCGCCCAGGACTAAACTGCTTGTATGTATATAGCAACAGTTTCTCCACGTTTGAATCGTGTTTAGTGCAATAGCCAGGTACACGTACTGCTCGTATGTATTTGTCAAGAGTAGGTGCGCCATTTTTGTTGCGGCAACTAGTACTCCTGTAGCCGCGTAAACTGCCTGACGTTCATGCCTCGCTCGTTGTTTTGCCTCCCTTCTCCGCTGCTGGACGATGGATACGGCGTTTCTCGCCGTCCCAGATGTTTGCATGCTTGCCCTTCAGGCTTACGGCCCTCACGCAGCTGTGCCGAGCGAAGCGAGGAATACCGGGTGAGAAACATGTACATACCGACGGCATGCGTTGCAGCACTTGACGGCGAGGTCACACGGTTAGCACTTACCATTCTGGAGCTGAAATCGCACGCGCAAACCCGTGGTACTTCTATGATAGTACTCTTGTCGTGTCGTCTTCATTTGCACTCTGAGCATCCGGACGCTGGTGCTGTCTCCTCCACGCCCCCCCTGTCAGGGTAGCCCGTGGACTTCAATGATTTCCTAACATTCTTTGCCTCGCTACTACGGCTGACGTCATCCCGTAGTCCAGCCAATTCACGCAGTGGGCACTGTTTGAGGAAACACGCACGTACGCATAGGGAGGACTGTTTTACGCGGGCGAGTCTTATGGGTAGCGATGACATCTACTTAACACGTACCGGAACATCCTGCCGAGAACGCCCGGGGAGCGCAAAAAACATGTTTTTTAGCGTGAAAAGAACCCCGTGAAGAAATCTCCAAGGTAAAGGGGCGACAAAAAGCAACAGATGATATCAGCTCGGGGCGACAAAAGACCCCCGCGGGTCTCCTCTGTTCTGTCTGGACCTCCCACGGACACGCACAAAACACGCGGTTCTTGCCTTGGGCTTCTCTCGCAGGAACCCACGACGTCGTTAGAGTGGTTTTGCGGTCGGTGACAAAAGCTCCCACACAACGATGCGGTGTGATACACCTGCCAGCGGTTCATGTCGGGCGTATGGACTCGTGCCGGGACCTTTTATCCGTCGGCTACAGTACGTGAAGACCGAACAGCTGCATCTGTCTCGTGCCGTCCTTTTCCCGCATTGCAATTCCCTCCTTGTGGCAGGAACGGGCCGGAGGCGAGACCGAAACTCAGTCGACCTTGTCGTGCGCTTCGTGTTCTACCAGCTCTTGAGAGCCGTCGACTTTCTTCACTGTGAGTACGTAATAAATCGTGTACCGGACGAGGAGTGCGATACCCTCTTGAAACAGGGTAAGGTAAACGTTGATTGATTACTAAGCTCCTGGGAATCCACGACGTCTGGTGTGTTGTTGCGTCTTGTCCATACCGTGGTGCAGAGCTTTTGTTGCCCCGCGGTTCGTCCGTTGCAGACGATTCGTCGAAAGTATACCGAACAACTTTTGTCCGTGAGAGAGCACACATCGCTTCTGCACCTGTTTCGGACTCACACGTTCTTCGCCTTCCTAGGTTTCTGTCGACTCCCATTTCTACCGACCACCGTAGAGCATTAGTGGATTCTCCCTTGCTACTCGTGTAGTGGACGTTTTGTTTATTGGCGGTTCTTGCTTGAGAAATCTTCCTTTTCTTGTGGCAGGCGCCAGTACTAGCCCTCTGTGAATCATCTACCGGCACGTCCTCCACCCTTCTCCCGCTCTTGTTTGCTGTCTCCACCGGCAGCCAAAGGCATTACAGTTGGAAACCTCAGCTCGGGCAGCATATTGCTCACCGAGAACCTTTGGGTACAAATAACGCCGTCGATTCCGCTGCTGCTCGGGAGACAGCAGCAGCAGCAACAACAGCAGCAGGCACTGTCGCGACAACCACAAGCTAGCCCTCGGCGATCGCCGGGTGACGACCTTCCGCTCACCTACCGCTGGGTGAAGGGCATGGTTTCGAATTTGGAGTATCTCCTTGCCGTCAATGCCGCCGCCGGGCGAATGGTTGGGGACCGTTCGTGCCATCCGATCGTGCCGTGGGTCTGCGATTTGTTGCATCGAGTGACGGAGGAGGAGGAGACGGCGGCGGGAGGAGATGGAGGGGGCGGGGAAGGGACGGGCTGGAGGGATCTGACAAAGACCAAGTTTCGGCTCAAGAAGGGAGACGCGCAGGTACCGGGTTCAAGCGAAGTGGTACTTAAACGACAGGGCGGAAATCAATCGCACGTATTCATCAGGCAATCAGTTCTTGCACAGCAGGTGTACCATAAAGCGGCACCCCGCGACCCACGGAACACAATTCGGTGCATTCCTGTTGTCACGGTTCACACGGAAACCTTCTTTTCTGTTGGCCGCACCGTCCACCTACCTTGTTTGTGCGGTGTACGACGCGTTTTGAGTCAACACCGTTTATCTGTTTGTCTGACCTCGGCAATCGCGCTTCTTGGTCGCTTTCACCCCGTGGTGCCGCGAATCGCAATACGTGCCTTCCGGTCCAGCTCGATAGGTCGTACTTGGAAGGGCAGCCGCCTCATCACGTCCCGGAGAGTCTCTCGGAGCTTACGCTCACCGTGTACCTCGCTCGGCGACTCCCTCTACAGGTGCGGGTTATATATACAGAGGCGTTATGTATGCATATGTGTGGTGCGGTCAGGCAACGTTTTCATGCCGTTTTTGTGGCATGCTGGTTTGGATGTATCATGGGGTATTCTGAGCGTACGGAAGCAGACTCCCGTGAACGTACGCAGTATGGAGCAGTAGAGGCCAGGGGGGTGCCGAAGTAGTAGAAGAGGTCATGTTTTGTGTGTTTCAAGGGAATTAGCCGCCTGTGCCTGGCGGTAGACGTGCGAGATGTTCTACCTTGTCCTGTTCCCCGAGGGACTGCTGCAGCTTGCCGTCATATCGCCGTCGTTTGTCGCCCGATATCGGGGGTCTGAAAACCGTATCCCTTGTTCTACAATTTGATGCTGACACTGTGTAGTGCCATCGAACCCCTCTCCCTCCCTCTCCCTCCCGAGTTTTGTCCCGGGGGATGTCGTAAAGGGTCGAACAAACGCACGTTGATTGGGGTAACTCCTCGAAGAATGAAAGGCGCCACATTTTAGTTCCTACTGTTGCGGACCCGGCCAACGTCGTCTTCTTGGACGTAGGTGTTGAAGGACGTCGTCCGGAGAGAGCTCGTTGTGGAGGAGTACCCGAAGTCCCTCGCCAGGATGTACAGCTGGACGCCGGACGAGTGCGTGCCGGAGTTCTACACGGACCCAGGCGTCTTCCGGTCGGCCCACGGCGATGCTGGTGGCTTGCCCGACCTCGAGGTGAAGGAACAACCGGGGACATAATCGTACAAACAGTCATGTGTGGTTTGATTATGGGTGTGCGGCTGCGGGCGGGGCCGTGTATTGCGGGAGTAGTAGACATGAATTCATGCACACTTGTTCTATTTTCTGTCTGTCCCTTCCTGTCGGTCTTGTGACAAATGGGTATGCGGCTGTGGGCAGGTGTTTATTGGGGGGTTGGGAGCATGACATGGGCTCATGCGCTCTTAGCTCCTTCTCTGTCTTCCCTCCTCTCTCTCTCTCTCTCTCTCTCTCTCTCTCTGTCCCGTGACCCATGTGTGGATGCAGGTTCCTCCGTGGTGCAATGGGTCTGCAGAAGAGTTCATCCGGTATCACCGGTCCCTCCTGGAAGGCGAAACGGTGTCCCGCAGCCTCCACCGGTGGCTGGACGTGACGTTCGGCTACTGCCTCACGGGCCAAGCGGCCGTTGACAACAAGAACGTCCCGCTGCCTCCCGGCGGCGGGGCGAGGGCCGACGTCACCTCCGGGTAAGACTCGCCAACCGCTCCAAGGGTGAGAGCGAAGGACATGTACGTACCATGCCGCAGCCACACGCATGCGTTTCCCGCGAGAAATAAAAAAGTTGTGGCCTTCCGGCGGAGCACCGCACACACTCCGGAACGTTGAGTCCAGTAGCGACACGCGCACCACCTTACGTTTGAAGTCGAACCGAATGTTTGTTCCGTGTACACTTCCGCAGCTGATTCCGTCGTCCCTCTTTTCTCGCTCCCGTCGCCCCGGCCTCGTCGAAGCAGCTCCGGTGCTGGAGGGTTCACCTTGAGCGGCACCAGCCACCACGGGTTCGTGCAGCTCTTCCGGCACCCCCACCCTCCGAGGAACCGAAACGCCTACACGGCGGCGGTGGCCGGCACCGCTGCTGCTGGCGGCGCTTCCGCCTCCCGGCCGAAGGATCCGCCGTCACGACCATCTCCAGAGGACAACGCAGGTGCTGAACCAACAGCGGATTTCTCGCCATTATCGAACATGGCGGCAGCGGCGGCGGCCGCGGTGGCGGCGAAAGAACGGGGTTCATCGACAGAAGAAGGTTCGATAGAGGGTCTCCGCAGTGCGGCCGCTGGTCCGGACGGCGCCTCCGATAGTGCCGGGAAAAGCATTCGTGAAGGTATAGGCACCGGCAACCGGACAGATGCGGTCACGGCGGAGCGCGCGGGGCTCGAATCGGAAGGCAGCGGCGGAGGTGCGAGCATTTTCGGGGTGGCGTTCGACGACTACATCGGCGAGGAAGGGGTTCGCTCTCCTCCTAACGCAGCTGGGACGACGGCGGCGGTGGCGGCGGCGGCGGCGGCAGCGGAAGGGGCTGAGAGCGCCGGCGCCGCCGGCGAAGCGCGCGCGAAGGTCGAGGAGGACAGAAGGTGGGGAGAACGGTTGACGGAAGCTAGCTTTTGATGCCAGACAGCGCGAAGAGAGCGCGTGCCGTACCTTGCTAGCGGCACCTGTTGATGCGCACACGCCTTGACGACTGAATCATGGTATACATTTAGTGCCCGATATTAAGAAACCAACCTTCAAGAAACAAGGCTCATTTTGTGGCGAAATTTAAGAAAAATCGGCTAAGAAGCACACCTCAGTCGTGGATCCTACACTAAACTCTATAGTATAGTATTGACCTATGCTCAACGGCGGTGACGAAATAAGAAATTGAGCCTCGACCCCAAATTGACGTTTTTCAAACTCGGGCACTAAAGTACACGACCGAATTGAACACCGCCCCCCCTCCCTGCTTTCTCCCCCCCCAGGGCTTTCGCCTTTGCGCACGACGTGGGGCTCCGCTTAGAGCCGTGGTACGGCAGGCCTCGCACGCGCTCCGGTGGCGGCCCAAGCGTTGCCGATTCCGCCGCCGCCGCCTCCGGCGGGACCGCAGGCGTTACCGCTCCCGCGGGTGAAGACATAGCCACGCCGACAACGACTGCCGCCGCTGCGCGTCGCGGCGGCTACGCAAGCGGCAGCGACGGCGTTCGGTCATCGGAGGCGGCGGATCTACTCGCTTTAGGCTGTGTCCTGGCGGAGATGTGCGCGGGGGAACCGGTTCTGGCCGGCCCTAGTGCCTCGTCGGAGAAGGCGACGAGCAGGGGCGGCGGCGGCGACGGCTGGCTGGAAGCGGTCGTGGAGCTGCCGTTGGCGTTGCGGAATACCATCGGCGCCTTGACACATGCGAATCCCGCAAAGGTAGGTGGTTTGTTGCTCGTCCTCCGGAAACGGTTTATTCCGCAGAGAGTGCCGGGCATACCGCAGTCGGGTACACTCTTTAAAGTAGTAGTAACCCTTCTTTCAGGAGGGGACCTTTGAAGGGTTCTTCTCCCTTATACCTCCATAAGACACCGTTTTTCCTTTCTACGTACCTCGTAAGATGGCGAGCTCTCGATGTTGACCCTGACTCTTATGCTTGGCTTTCCCCCGCTTGGCATGCCTTCGCTCCAACGCCTGTTGTCGCTCCCAACAGCGACCTTCAGCCCACGCCCTTTTGTCCACAACGGAGCCAGCGCTGCATCACATAGACGCGGCACCGTCGTGTTCGGTGCCTTCGACGCGAACGGGTCGAGGGGGGTGGCCGGAGCCTGCGCTACCGCCGCCGGCACCGCCGTCGCACGCCTACCGCGGGCTCTTCCCTCCGTACATGCGCGACGTGTACGCCTTTCTCGCCGCGGTCCACCAAGAGGTGCGCCGATTTTATTGGTCCGTTAGCCAGCTTTTGCCGCTAGTTGCAGATGCCTGTTCGGTCGATGCGTGTGCCCTCCCATCGTGGAGGTTCGCGAAACGGGAGCTCTAGCGGTGCTGTCAGCAACTACTACTGTCACACGCAGCCTCCGCTGTTGTCAATTGTTTACTCTCTCTCTCGAAGCGTTGTGATGCGTAAGAATTGCATCAGTCTTCATGCAACGGAGCCCCTTTCGACCCCCCTCCGCTGTCACGAAATGTCGCGTCCAGGAGACCCCCCACAAGCGCCTAGTCCTAGCCGCGGCGACTCTCCCCGTGCTCCAGGTACCCATCCACGCGTTCTCTCTCGCGGTGCCCCACTTGGTATCTCTCCTCGGAGACATTCCACTTCCGGTTACAGAAACAGAGAAGGCCGGCGTGGGCGACGCAGTGCCTGCAAGAGCTGCGACCCGCGCCGATACGGAGGCCAGCGGCACACATCGAGGAAAGAGAGACGCGAGTGTTAGCACAGAGGAGGGTGAGCGGGAACGGTCCGAAGAACGGTCCGAAGAACGGTCCGAGGGTCCATCGGCGCCTGCGGCTGCGACGGGGCCTCTGTCGCCGGCGACATCGGCGGAGGGGGCGGTGACAGGCGTTGCGCATCTGGACGAGCCGTCGCCCGTCTCAGCAGAAAAAACGTCGCAGCTTGTTGCCGAGGTTTCGAAATCGTCCTTGCCGTCGTCGAGGCCGGTGGCGGTGGTGACACGATCGCTCTCTGTGGAAGGAGGCAATACGCACCCGCCAAAGGTGGCGGGGGCGGCAGCAGTAGCAGCAGCAGAGGCCGAGACCGTGGAAGACGCGGCGGGAGCACAGGCGGAGACGGGAGCAGGAGCCTCGAGGACGAAAGCGACCGAGGCAGCGAAGCACATGGGGGCGTGGGTATCGGTGTTCGATCTCTCCGCGGCGAGACTCGGCCCCGGTCTTACCTTAGAGGTCTTGTTTCCTCCGGTGATGACGTGCTTGGAAGGGTAAGTCGCCAGCAGCAGGCAACCGTGTGAGCAATCAAAATGAGATGGAACACCGCCTGTATATCGCGCAAAACACGCAAATTTTGGATGTCGCACGGAAGATGAAATTCTGCCGGTGCCGCACCACGACCGAGTCAATCCAGCCGGTGGCCCTCGGCCGAACCGCGGCGCATGCATGTAAGTAACGATACTCCCTGTTCGCGCACGGTCTTCGGTGGCGGTCGCACCGCCATTGCTGCCGTGTTCTGGAGCTCGCAACCCTGCACACATGCTCCTCCGTGTCCCTCACGACCATCTTGCCAGGGTCCGGATCCCGCAGCACGCGTGCCATCTGATGGACGCCGACATATGGGGGGTGGTCGCCCGAAGGGTAGGAAACGAGGCCTTCTTGAGGCGTGCTCTCCCGCTGCTGCTGGCGTGGTTGGAGCGAGGAGTCCCGACCGAGACCGACGGTACGCCTGGGTGCCGTGAGACGAGAACAGCAGATACAGAGGCGCCGCGCGTCCGAGAAGACGGACAACGGGACGGCGTTACGCTGGCGCCGGACCGCGTTCCTCCACGAAGCCGTGCATCCGGCGACGTGACGACGAGCGAGGGTTCGGGACAGGCGAAAATGTCCTCCCGGGACGCGTCGGGAGGGCGAGGGGATGATGGAGTGGGCGAGCCCGGCATGTCCGTTGAGGGTGGCGAAGATTTGTCTGCGAGCCGGGTGCAGGTGGCCGCCTCTTCCTGCGTTTCGCAGGACATTTTTGAGTGCCTCGGTGAGCGACACGAACAACGTTCGTCGACGACGTTTAGGGAAGTGGAAAGCAAGGGCAGGTCTCATAGATAAGGGGGCTACCGTGGATCGTTTTAGACGTTGAAACCATCTCTTTTGCAAGCACATGGCGATGGTGCGCGGCGTATGTCGACCGTCGTTACTGCGTGGAGACGTGGAGACGTGCTGTATTGCCTCGACAACCACGATCGCTCGGCATGACCGCTTCTGTTGTTACCGTCCGCTGTGTGCGTCACCCTCGCTGGCCAAGAACCAACACCTTCGTAGGCTCAACCTTTCTCGTTCCGCCGCACGCCTTCTCTTCCTACCTACCTTCCCCCCGTTTCAGGACCGACCCTGGCCGCTCGTTACCTGATTCCGGCGCTGGTAGACTGCCTGGGCCGCCTCGTCAATACGGCGGCAGCCTCGACTCGCCACGCCTTCCGCTCGGATACCACCGCCATCCCTGAGTCCGACGTCACCTGGGGCGAAATCAACAAGAACGGCTTGGCCGCACCTCCTCCTCCTCCTCCTCTTCCTCCTCCTCCTCCTCCTCCTCCTCGATTAGCGGGAGCAGCTGCCGAGCGACGTTGTCCTCCGCCACCCCAGGATCGCTGCGGGGGTGGGGACCCCGCCAGTCTTGCGCTTCTCGGGTACTGCCTTACCCGCGGCGCGACGGAGGAGTATCCGGATCCCGGGGTCAGCGGAGGGACGCCCTTTTTGGTGCTCTCTAGGGCCCTCGGAGACATCTGCGTGCATGTGAGCTTCGGCGCGGGGGCAATGCGTTGGTGTTTGGGGCAGGGCGAAAAGGCAGATGTGGTATTTAGCAGTGGGATGGTATTTTGGGGCAGGGCGAAAAGGCAGGTACTGTAGCTTATGGTAGCTTTTGGTAGCAAACAAGCCGGCAGCAACCATCGGCATGAAGTGAACGGAATGCGTAGCACGGCACGGTGCGATGGGCGATCGCAAAACCATGGCCTATCGCCAGGGTTTTGGCGGCTCCCGTGCGCTGTATCAGACCCAAGAGTTGTCGTCTGCTTCTACTCCTTGCGGGTGAACTTGCGAGCCCCCTGCATACATTTTCCGCGCAACCTGCCTCACGAGCGGGCGGTAAGCTGTCTCGTTGGGCCCCAAAGGCTTTTCCCTCTCGTGCATCGGGCTGCGCAATTACGGTGTGCGGTTGGGGTTTGGAATCGAACGACCAGAAGGGTCTTCTGCAGCTTCTCCGCAACTCTTGATGTCCAACGTCGAGATTCTGCTCGACGACTCTCTTATCGACGTGTTACGTTGGTTTTGCCTACCTCTGAACAAGAGAACACGACGCCCATCATCACGCGGGGTACAATGGCGGTCAAAACCACGCCACAAGCTTTGCAAATACCGCTAAGTGTAGATTCTGTGGCTTTCCGCTTTCTTCGAATAGTTTATCTCCCTCCCATTTTCCGGCCGGCCGGCGCGTCCAGATTAGCTCGGAGGAGGTGACGGTACCGCTGGTGCTCAGCCGCGTGTTTCATCAGGTTCTCCCGAGTCTCGCGCCCGTGCTGGCACAGCGAGGGGGGCCGTCCACGACGGCAACGGGCTTCAGGTGATAATTTACAACACGTTTGCAGCCGCCACTCACTGCTTGATCGCCGACGAGAGTTCAACACGAAGAAGCAAACAAACTGGGCTTCTCAGCCGGTCTTCTGTGGTCTTGCTTGCTTTGATGACGAGACACGATCATTCGGCGGGGTTGCCGACGCTTCATGGCACCTCTCTCTTTCTCACGCAGTGTTTCTTACGCCCCCCCCTCCCTTGCTGCCATCGTCGCCGCCGCCCCCGCCGCCTCTACTATTTTTGCTTGCCCCCCCGATCAATCGACGACGTTGTTGTTTATCCTGTTCATATCCATGAAGATCTGTCCTAGAGGTTACCTCTCTGCTCGGGCGACTTCTACCCACGCTCTGCCCCGAGACCATATCCCACTTCTACGTCGGCCTGCGGCCAGCAACAGCGTTATCACCGCCGTCCTTCCATGCGGATGCCACCGGCACCGAGGCGGCGGCGGTTACGCCGCAGGCGGCAGCCGAACATCACAGCGTGCCCTGGCTGCTCTTGGCGATGCCTCTGCCGCAGCCCGTCTTCCGAGAAGCGGGAGGCCGTGACTCGAACTTGTGGACGGACCGTTCCTCGGACCGTTCCACGATCCGACGCTCACCGGGTCGGCAGGAAGACGGGTTCTTGAGCCCTACCACCGGCGACGGTGGAGGTAGCGCCCACGTCGACGGCGGCCGGAACCACCCCGAATTTTCCGGGGGCCCGGCGGGAGGGGCTGCTGAGGGCGTGTGCGACGACGCGGACGTCTCGACGCGTTTCGTCTGCCACGTGGAAACGGCGCGGTTGCTTGCGACGACGGCGATGGGGGTCCTCGGGGACGGCGGCTGGGAGGAAGAGGGGCGGGAGGAGTGCTCGAGGGTGCTGCAGGCGGCGGAGGCGTTTTTTGCCGCCTTTGGGCGCTTGTACTGCGGGTGGGTGCACCTCGCGCGAGAACCGAGGCCCGGGACATGACGGCTCCGCGCGAGCCTAGCTGGTTGATGTTGAACCATGGCTTAACACGTACACAAAGTCGCAAGACCAAAAAAACGAAAATATCGTTTTGCCCATCGAGTGATGCTAGTAACGTGAGGGCCTCGTTGTTTTTGACGTCGCTTATGGACTCGAGCTGCAGACCTTGCTTATCACTCCCTTCCATTTTCATTTGTTTTTGTCGCAGGTTGTCGTCGTCGAGCCCAACCATGGTGGCGGCGCTGAAGCTTGCAAAAGAGCTGCACACGCCCCTAGCTTCGCTTTTTGGGTGAGTGACCAGCTGATTCCGATGCTTGCTTGCGCCTGGCAGAGATGACGAGCTTCCGCGGTCTCGATAGGTACCTGACCTCTCTGTCGTGCCAGTACTCTCAGCAAACTCGATTCAAGTTCAAGTGAAAGAAAACCCGGGCACCGCTTCTTCTGCGGAGCCCCTGGATGCATACTGGGGCGAGACCCGTTCCGGTCCTCAAGACCTCGATCTCTACCAAATTTCCTCGTGTTTCATGAGCGCAAACCGCTTGTCTACCAACCCGGACACCTCTTTGACTTTAGCAACGAGTCTTTTCTACCCGCCGTCCACCCGCCGCCGACACCGTCGACGAACTTCTACTTCGCGGTTCGCCTGCCCGTTACCGCGCAGGTTCGACGTGATGCGCCGGCGTGTCCCCTCGGCGTCTGGCCGCGCCGTCCCGTGGCTGACCGACAGCCTCGTGCACGCCAGGAGAGACCCGCGGCAGCAGCAGCAACGGCGGCAGCCCCTCGCCGCCGTTCCTCGAGAAGGCTTCGGTGCGGGCGAGGAAACAAGCGCCTTCGCTTTGGCAGAGCTCGGGCAAGTGGTGCGGGAAGGAGAGGGTGACACGGCCGCCAGACCACAGCAGCAGTCGTGGCACCTTGGCCATCCCAGTCCAGCCGGTGGAGTCGTGGCCGGCGCCGGCGCCGCCGCCGGCGCTGTTGTCGTCGGCAGCGGGGGGCTGAAGTCGTCTTGGAAGGCTCGGCAGCAGCTCGTGGGAGCGAGCGGCGCTGACAGAGACGGCTCGGTCTTTCCCTCGCAGGAAGTCGGCGAAGAAGATGCGCTCGACTACGGCCACGGCGCCCCGCACGACGACTTGTCCGTTGTAACAGACGGTGGGATGTACATCTCGCCGGCGGAATCGCCGGAGCCCCCGTACAGCCCGGGCCACTTCGGCAGCGGCAGCACGGCGGTGCAGGTAGTCTCCGGCGTTGCGGATCGGATACAGCAAGCGATCAAGCAGCGCCTGGTCGCGGACGGGGGCGGAGAAGGCGGCGGTGGCGGCGGCGTGTCGCCCTCTGCGAAGCGTCTCGCCGGGTGGCTACAGTCGGGTTGGCGGACAGCATCATCAGGAGGAACAGCAGCAGCCTCGCCATCTTCTGGCGAACACCGAAATCGACCACGAAGACAGTGGACGACGGGTGGCGGTGGCGGGGCTACCGAAAGCTCCACCGGTCAGGGAGCGGTAGCCGGCCGCGGGATTGGTGGCGGCGGCCAGCCGCGAAGTAGCCCGCGAAGAGGGGTGCCGGCGTGGGGACACGCGTCTGAGAAGCTCGACCCGCTTCTGCCGCCGCCCTTGTCGGCGCTGCCGCCCGCTTCCTCGAACCATCGCGGCCGTGGCAACGCGGCGGCGGCCGGCGGCGGCGGCGGCGGCAGCGGTAGCCTACGACAGCAACACCGGGAGCCGCAACGGGAAGGGAGGGAGGGGCGGGCCGGTCGTAGCCGGAGCCGCGAACCGCGGACGGCGGCGCCAGAGGCGGGAGATGGAGGCGGCAGCAAGTCCGAAGAACATTCCCTGGAGTGGCCGTCTCTGCTAGGTGCCCTCGGGTCGCGGGCTCCCTCCCCCACCGCCAGGAGCGACTCCTCGCAGCACTCCCGGGCCGCCGCCGCCGCCGCTGCTCCCGTCTCCTTTGCCGGTGCGCCGGGAGACAACGACCGCGACGACGGCGAGGCCGCTCGTATCCGTCGTGAAACGGCAGAGGCAACGGCGACGGCGGTCGCAACCGGAGCCGAAGACGGGATGCTGCCGTCGTCCCCGCCGCGGTCCCCGTTCCTGTTCCGAGGCACCTCGCCCACGAGGTCGTTGTCCGCGCCGGCGAGATCGCCTGCCGCCGCCGCCGCCGCCGCGCCCCCGGTTTCGTCGGACCCGCCCCCCCCACCGCCTGGCACGTGCTGGGGGGTGGGGGTTGAGGTGGCGCCCCGGCTGCGGGAGCGGGGGTGGCTCACGGGTACCAGGGGATGGGGGGAGCCTGGGCAAAGACGAGGGCGCGAACTGGCGCAAGGATTTCAGCCGGATAGCGTGGGGTCTATGTTTTCTCTGGACATGAGTTTACAGGTAGGCTTTTGCCGTTCAGTCGTGCTGTTTATCGTTTTTCGCCTTGCCTAAGCTCAACGGTGCTACCATTTGCCTTTCGTGTACACGCCCCCCCCCCCCAACACGCGATCACGATACGTCGTGACCCGAGGAAATCAGTGCTAAGAAGGAGCGCATATTACAATAGTCAGTACAACGCAGCTCATGCTCTCAATTTACTGCTCGCGGGCCTCCCATCTTCATCCACCCTCCCCCTCATTCCCCAACACTTTGGCAGACATCGTTTTTTGGCCACAAGGTCGCGGTGACTAGCATGGCGGTCGAAAAGCGGTCGGAGTCGGTCCTGCTCACGGGATCCGCGGAGGGAGAGGTGCGCGTGTGGTCTCTGCGCGACCACCCGGTCTCTCGCGTGAGCGGCTTTGGTTCCGGCGGCGGCGGCGGCGGCGGTTCTGGAAAGGAAGCGCGTTCCGCCGTCACGCAGCTCGGGATCTTCGAAGGCTCTGGGCGAGCGGCGGCGCTTGATGGGCTGGTCCGCGTTTGGGACGTCGAGAGGTCAGGGTGTGGCTGGTCGTTGGTTGGATTGTTTCTTTGGTCGCCGAATCGTGTCGTAGAACTCGCGGTTGCCGTGATGCGTCGAGGATGTAAACGGCTTAGATGGGTGGCCTGACTCGGGGTGGAGCGTTCGAGCCTGATTTCGTGGTGGATCTCTCAACTGTTTTCCTACCGCAGATTGTTCGCCTGCTGTTGCTGCTGCTGCTGCCATGTTGTTCCTACCCAAGGCTAAGTGGTTGAATGTTTTATATCCGCGCCCTCTTGTTTCAGTGTTTTGTCCACTGTCAAGGTAGATTTCGCTTGCTGTTCGGTGTCCTTGTGGCACATCGTTCTATCGTCTTTGAGAAGGGGCTTTGTGGGATTATACCCGCTGCAAAGCAAAGCAAAACCATTCCGATACCTTTTCTCGCAAGGTTCAATTGCTCATCGCCCTTTCGGCAATCATGCCGCGCCCATCTCCGTGAAAACCCCTGCAAATTGGGGTTGGAGTCTGCGCTACATATCCCGAAAAAAACACGATCCAAACATCGTCCGAAAATTCCATTCTTTAATTCACTAAAAAAACTAATCGAACTCCATGCTTCAATTCCATTAAAAACAAGTCCGAAAATTCCTCACTACTTGAATTCAATCATTGCGTATACTGCTCTGTCTGGGACAGGAGCCAGGGCCTCGCCATCTGCCACCAGGGGGCGCACAAGGGCGCGCCCCCGCTGACAGCGTTCTCGCTGAGCGGGTGCGGGGAAGGAACCACCCCCCCCCTGGACGACTCGGAGTGGGACGAGGTGTCTCCTGGGGAGAGCGGTTGTTTCTCTGCTCCCGACGACCAACAGCTAACCGCTTCCTACGGGGGGGGCGTCGTGCACTTTGACTGCAGGTGTGTCAAACTAGTTGTGTTTTTTTTGCATTCTGGCTGGAGCTTGGGGCTTTGCTGCCTGGTTGTCAGTGGTCATGCTCTTGTGGCTACAGGGTTCGTGTTGCGTCGTAGAAAGTGTGCATGGCTGTGGCTGCGGAGCTTTCGCGCCTTGCACAATGACTGCCTCAGGCGTTGTCTGACAGTCAACTACAGCACCGCGTGGAAAGAGCGCTATTCAAATAGTTGTCTCCCACACAAATACCGCATCAAGATTTGTGCAAATACCAGGTATTATTAGTTATCTGCAGAAATTTACCCGGTATCGTTGCGGCCACGCACTACAAATAGCAGCCGTGGTTGGATACTGTATGGTACAGACGAACATCATGGGCTAGTGTCAGACACATGGAAGCACGGCATATTGCTGCAGTCCTGCGAGCCCGGAATAGAGTCGACGACCGAGACCCGCTCGCGGGTGTATTCCTCCGGGTGATGGCCTCCTGTTGTACTCACAATACACATGACTTTGAGTTTCTTGGCATAGACTATACCACCCCCCACCCCTCCCCCCACCTGTCTAAGTTCCTCTTGGTCTATCCCATGTCTCTCATGCCGTCGAGGCTAAACTGTTTATTTTTGGTGCCTTCTTTCCTTGCTGGCCCTGACTCCTCTGTTCTATTGCCTTCAAATTGTCCAGGCAAGGTCGATCGGGAGGTACGGTGCAAGACCTCTTTCCGGTGGCGCAGTGGGACGTGGACGCGCGTCTGCAGTCTTTGCTCGCTCTCCCGTCCAGCAAGGGTCAGAGGTGAGTGCTACTCGTTTGCGATGCCGTCCGTTTACGAAATTTTGCAATGCAAGTACACACATACGCGTTTTAATGACAATGTTTACACGTCCCTGTAAGAATTACCATGTTCACCAGCACCAACATACCCGAGTGAGCACCTACAGGCAGACTTCCGTTCATTTGGTAGAGCCTTCCTTTACAGCATGCCCAACGCGAACGGCTCGCTCACTCGCCGATACACGCCTCCCCGGCCATGACATGCTTCTTTACTTCCGCCGCCACTGCCCGAACGGCTCGCAACGAACCGGACACACCCCACTTCCTTACGGCAGCCGCGGCGACCACCGTCACGGCTCCTCCTCGAGACGCAACGGCGACGCCGCCCCGCTGCCGGTGGGGCTGTGCACGGTGTGCGAGGGCGAGGGTTCGTGGGTGGCCGCCGGCTCCGGCGCGGGCAACGTGGTGGTCTTCGACAAGAGGAGACCGGGCGGCAGGCCTCTCTTCTGGTGGAACGCGCACGGCGGGGTCGTTGTCGGCGTGTTTCACGTCGCTCGGTGAGTTGATCCCTTTTTATGAGACTATTGCACGGGACCCCAGAGCGTGCTGCGCTCTTGAATTGGAGATATGCAAGTTGTCCCCTCGGAGTGGGGTGGGTTTTGTTTTTCAGGGGGACAGCTGGGGTCTTGTGAGAGCTGGGATAGGCGGGATGATCAAGTCCTCGACGTACGTGGTAGTTGGTGGTTCGGATCCCATTGCGGGCTGCGGACAGTCGAAGCCGCCGCGCGTGACGGTATTTACGTTGTCTAGACCCCCTTCGGGGGCAGATTTTCAAAGATCGACCGCTCTGCTACCAGGTGCCGAACAACGCTTGCACATATTCAGAAAGTTCTCGATGAGATGTATCCAGATATTTTCGACACCAGCGCGTTTTCGCCTGTGGAGCAGCCGTTCTCTCTTGGAGAACCGGCCCCACCGAAGGGGGCCTGATGTTTTCACCGTCAAGTACGGCATGGGGTGTTCACCTCCCACATGCACGCTCGACGCTTGTTGCCGAGACCCTAGTGCAGCTATGGTCGCAGAACTCCCCACTGCCTAAGCCGACCCCCCATTCCTTCCCTGACCACCACGCCCTTCGTGCTCGGACCGCTTCTAACCCACCCTAAAGGCATCTCTTGCTGACGATGTCACGCGACCGGACAGCTGTCCTCTGGGACCTGAGCCGCTCCCCAGCGGAGGGCTCGGGGTTCGATTCAACCGGCACGGGTCCTGCATTGCTGCGCCACCCGTCGTGGGGGGTGGGGGCCTACAGCAGCGGTGGACAAGAAGGGTCGGGGCTCGCCGGGGGCGGAGAGGGGGGCCACGGGGAAGCATCCCCGGTGCGGGTTTCCACCGCGTTCGGATTGCCGGACGCCGCGCCCGGGCTGTCCCCGGCCGCCGTCCTCATGCTCCCTCTGCCCCCTCCCCCCGCCCGTCCCAGCAACAGGCTGGCAGGCGCTGGGGTTTCCTCCGTGTTCGGAGAAAGTTTTTCCGCGTCGGGGAGAGCCGGCGGCGGCGCGGGAGCGAGAATTCGGAGAGAGAAGCTGCCCGTGCTGTTTGCCGCGTCCGGCGACAGGATGGTCGCGAGCGTCGTGCGCCGAGAGCCAGACGCAAGGAGGCGGGAGGAAGAAGTGCACCCGGCGAGATTTTTGGGCCCGGCGGGGAAGACGGTGAAGGGCAAGAAGGGCGGCGTCGGCGGTGGCGGCGGGAGACGGTCGGCGTCGGGGGCGGGCGGGCTTGTGGTGCGGTCTATCGCGGTGCTGCCGCTCCGCAGGCTCTCGCTTCTCGGGTGTGCGGATGGGTGGGTTAGGGTCGGGATGTGAGATCGGGGGGTTCGGGCACATGCCCTGGTTGTTCTCTCTTTTTGGTCGTGGTTCTCTCTTTCTGATCGTCGTGTGTCTTGTGTTGTGAGGAAAGCGGGTGACTGTTTGTAGGGGGACAGCGGGCCTGTCTAGTTGTTCTGGTCGAATGGCCAGGGAACAGCCGCAATGACATGATTCATTTGCGAAAGAATCGGCACGACAGGGCGAGACACGGGTGTGCGGGAGACGGAGCGCACAGGTGTCCCCCATGAGCATACCGCTTTACCACCGTGTTTTTTATGCCTTCGACGGTGCTTTGTAGATGTTGACCTGTTCATGTAGGGGGGTGTTCCGGAGTTCAATGGTGATACGTGTTCGCAATACCGCCCACGGGTGTAAAGTCGGATAATGTGATCTGCCTGTGTGGCAGCTAATCTCATCCTTGGGTTTGCCCGGGCTTGTACAGAGGTCTAGAAGTATTATTTTTATTTGTTAAATCCTTGCCTCAAGGCCGTGTCGTTTTGGCATCCAGCAACAACACAATAGAGAGACCGTAGCATCATTGTACACCAAAACAGAGTTGAAATGTATGCGGAGAACGGGATACGCTTAGGTTAGGTTTTGTTCCAGCACTTCAGAATATTGACATTCGTCAGATTATTGGTTTTGTTATGATAACCAAAGTTTTTTTGGAAACCAGTTTTGCTTCTGCCGTCGCTCCGCACGCCAAACTCGTCAATTTATCGGTTTGCTTGGGAGAGCGCTGACGAGCGTACGTACGTGTGGTGTGTTTCCCCCGGGGCCCCTCTGATGGTATAATATTCGCCGGGTTGGTACAACGCAAACATCGAGTCGTCAAATGTCTTACTTTTTAATTTTAAGCCCACGACGGTCCCTATAGTGTAGTGAAAACGCGGTATTGTTCATCCTCGGTTATAGATTCGAAAAGAGATTACTACTTATTCTTCCGAGGGAATGCCCATGTCAACAGTTCGTGTGTGACGTTTGCATTTGAAGTGCCGAAAGAGATTCGTTTACTGTTTCGAGGGGATGGGTTTGTCAACATTTCGTGCGTCTGTGATGCTTGCATGGGCAACAATGGAAATGGGGTTGGGGTGCCAGAGCGACACAGTTGCTACTCCTAGTATAGTGCATGGTGCTAGTATAGTGCATGGTATGGGGAGGAGGGGACCGAGGTCGCGCTTGGGCCGGAGGGTGATCACGTCCGTGACATTGGGGTGTCGTGTAAATCCTGCTGCACCTGCCGTGGAGATTTGGGGACGGAGGGCGCTGACTGATAGAAGGGCGGTTTGTGCGGGTAGTGTCCCCGGGGATTTTCATGACCTGAACAATGATGCACGCCTGAAGCCACTGTAGAGGCACTGGATACCGATCGGCCTTAGGCGCGTTTTCACGCCCTCCTCGGTCTCGGTTTTGCTGGAGGCTTAAGATTTGGGTGGATAACGCTCTTCGATAACTGAGACTTGAAAGCTTCAACACCCTGAGGTATGGAGCGCTTTGCATGTTGCCGGTCGATTCATAACTCTGTTTCATCGGTACGCATTTATAAACCGCACGGTGGTTGAGCCAGACATGCATTGCGAGGCAATGTCGGTTTTCCGACAACTAACTAGGCGTTGTCTCGACACGGGGGACAGACTTAACGTGGCCTGAAGAAGCTTCCCACACGAACAAAGCGCCGAACCTGACACAACCTTGCCTTCATGAAAACGTAAATGTTAACGGGGTTCCCGCAGGTCTCCAGAGGTATTACCCAACACCATATTGCCGAGGTCCGGAAAACCAAGGACGGCGTTACGTGTTCGGACGTATGGGCTGTTCTATCACGGTCCACACTTCAATTTTTCAGTACTTTCAACACATTACGCACATCGTGCGCGCGCATCGTATGGCGTAGCAGACGCCTGAAGGCCTCTCGCTCAATGTCCCCCACCCCAACGTTTTGAGATGGGGGTCATTCTCGTCATTTGCAGCTAAATCTTCCCGCATACGGGATCGATCGTAGGTTTTTTAGGGCTCGAGGTGAAAACCTTGTTAATCGAGCAGGAGCTGTTTCGTCCGAGCAGTTGTACAACGGGGGGAATTATTTAGCTAACCATCCGAGGCGGAGAGATGGCACCGGGTCCGATTTTTTTTTTATGTGTTTTCCTCGTTTTGTTGTGTCGCACCCCTGTACGACCTGTCCGACTGGTGCCACCTCTCCGTGTTTCTGCGGGTGATTGGGCCGGGCGGGGGAGGGTTGTTTGGGTTACCGTAAAAGGCGGACAGATGACACCAGGTGCGATCCTTCTAAATCAATTTGCTTCGTTTTGTTTCGCACCCCGGTGCAATCTCTCCGGCCGGTGGCATATCTCCGACCCCGGTGCGGAAATACACGCAAACACACAAGTTCGTCAGGATTTTTCAAGGTACCCAGGTGCCATCTCTCCGACCGGTGCGATGCGCAATGAAGTACACACAGCGTTCCTCCTGGTGGTCTGCGGTGTTGAATGCACGCCCCCCGGTGCCCATCTCCCCGACAGGTGCCATCTCCTCGTCTCTACAGTACTTCACGTAACATGCACTTTGCCGCTTCTCCGCCTGGAAATCTACAGATACTGTAGATAGATACAGGCTGGATTGGGGCACACTTCTACTGGCAGCTCCAGAGCCATTTAAAAACCTACCTACAGTACCTCTCAGACTAAATAAGTCACAACACCACGACCAATGGCTCCACGGGATTCTTGGGGCGCGACTGCACATCTTTCTCCAAAAGAAGACTACACATCACAACACCACAACAACAGCAAATGGCTCCCTGGGATTCTTTGGGCTAGACCTTGCACATCACCTTCTAAACTACCACGCACAGCACCCGTCACATGAGCAAAAAGCGGGGCCCCCGAGAGAGGCGCTGTCTCGCCTCGGAAGACACAAAGTTATTCCTCACGCTGATGAACTCGACGTCGGGGGCGAGCGTCACCCCGGGGGCCGTGACGGCCTTGAACACGGCCTCCACCCCGCCATTCCCCATCCCGTTCCCGGACAGGTCCAGCCGAGTAAGACGCCGCCACGTCCCCGCGCCGGCCAGCAGCCGGTGCGCCACCGCCTTCCCGCCCTCGTCGCGCAGCGAGTTGGACCCCAGGTCGAGTGCCCGCAGCGCCGGGAGCCCACCGAAGGCGAGGGGGCCCGCGAGCACCCTCAGGCCGACCGCCGTCACCGCGTTGCCGCGCAGGTCCAGCGTCCGCAGCGTCCGCCCGGCGGCGGAGGCGCCGCCGCCGCCGCAGAGGGCGCGGACGATAGCGCAGGCGCCGCGGTCCCCGAGCAGGCACCAGCCCAGGCGGAGAACGCTCAGGCGCGGACAGGCGCCGCTCGCAAGGTCCGAGGCCAGGCTTTCCCCCCCGGGGGCTCCCAGCTTCCATCCCCGCATTTCTTCCACACCGCGGAAGCGCAGCAGGTCGACCTCGAACGCCTGCGAGCTCCGCTTCTTCCCTCTGTTGTGGTTTCCCGCGCGGCCGCCTCCTCCTCTGATCCCGCCGCCTCGAGATGGCTTCCGTCCTTCCGCTGCTACTGGTCCTGCTGTTGGGCCAGCGCCGTTGTTTGGTGTGGCCTCGACGGATTGTACTGGTTGTACGCTCCTCGAGGAGTTTTTTCCCGGCATTTCCGTCACCGCTGTCTGGCGGCCCGCCCTCTGATGGTGCCCGTTCCTCTCTCCGGCTGCCGGAAAAGCCGGTGGCTTCGACCCGCCTGTGCCGCTGCTCTGTCGGATTCCCCCAATCCCCAGAGGAGGAGGGAGGCGCCTCCCGCTGTTGTTGTTGTTGACCTCCTTCTTCATCTCGACTTTTTCTTCGGCCGCTGGAGTGGGCGGGGGCGCCGGTGGTTTGAGCCGAAGGAGGAGGTACGTGTCCGTCTCGAGAGGCTCTTCCTTGATCTCGGCGGGGGGTGCGTTGACCCCCGCGACGATGCCCGACCGCCGCATGATCCGGAGCGTGGCCTGGGTTATCACCTCTCCCCGGTCGTACTCGGCAAGGTACTCGTCGGCAGCAGCTAGATCGCGGGGTTTGGTCGTGCGTATATCGCGCAAAGTGGTAAATGAGCAGGGCATGAACCAGGGTTAACCCAGGTGAAATAGTAAAAACAAGTGCGGGAGAAGTTAAGTGGAACTAGGGAGAAGTGCACTGCAGAATGTAGAAAAATTGGCGTGGTGCAAGGTAGGTAGAGCGCGTTTGCGGTGTGCTGAAATACGAATCGTGCCAAGCCGGGACACGAAAAATAAATGTCTCAAGACATATATGTAAGCGTCTCGTCTGCGTCGAAAACGTGGGATAGCGGGCTAGACTGCCCAACACCTGGGGACCATCACCCAACCGACACCGAACGTGTGCAAAACGCTTTCTCGCCCCTATTTGATTTGGTATCCCCCTCCCCTCCACTCCAACGGAGCCGGTCATTTCTTTTGAGCTGTCATCTCGAGTTTGGGGTACAAATGCAGCATCGACCTTGCGCTTGGGAGGTTGCGATAGGGTGGTTCTACGAGTCGACGGAGAAAAGAAAAGCAGAAAGAGACTGGCTCCGTCCGCCATGGCAGATCACCTTGCCGATTTGCGTCCCCCTGTCGGACTTTCTCGGCCTCCGCGTCCCGCTTTCGCTGCCGCTCGCGGTCCTCGTCCTCCTGCACGTGTCTCGTGAGCGCCTGCATCTGCCAGCCGTCGTTGTTGTCGAGGAAGTAGTCCCGCACTCTTTCCTTCTCGAGGGAAGTCGTCAGCCTCAGATCGGCCTGGTGCTTGAACTCCGCTCGCGTCTGCGTGGTGTCAACCGATGGAAGGCTTGTTTTTTTGTTTCGGGCTTACCGTTGTGAATGTCGTCGTGCACGAACTCGTGCACAACACCATTAGGATTCATGACGTCTTTGTGCTGCGACTAGCACGAGGGTCTTAACCAGAGTAACCTCTTTCCGCGTTGATCCGTCCGTAGTCAATGCGGCACCTCGACGCAGAAAACAGAGTCCCGGCAAAAAAGCACCACACGAAAGCGATGAGGTTGCCGGTATGTTCCAGTGGGCGGGCTGAATGGGCTGGCTGTCATTTTCCTCTTTGCGCTTGCTTCCAGCGGTGTTGGTGGTTAGTCGAGAGCCAAAGGCCACTACCTCTTGTAGCAAGACTTTTCCCAATCCGGGGACGCACTTTTTGTGTCTCCACTGCTGTGGAATCCAAGATTCCAAGGAAATCCCCCGTGTTATTTGGGGTGGAACCGCGTCCCGATTTCGCTCGTATGTTCCGTGAGGTTTGGTATGGTGCGTCCCGACGACTTTGCACTAGTGCAACTGCCCTTTTCTGGAAAATGGCCTTGGACTGCGTCGCACGGAGAATAATTAAATGGTGGGCGGTGAGGCGAGCAAGGAATTCGAGTAAAACCTGACAGCTTGCTGTAGAATACCACGTCTGTTCGACTTGACACACTCAGCTTCCGACCAACCCCTGCACATGGAAATATGGTACCGCTGTGTATTACCGATGCGTGGGCTCACCTCGTTCAGGAAGTCCTCTCGCTGAGTTCGGGAGCGTTCTTGCTTGAGTTGGGCGCGCCGCTTGGTTCGTCGTTGTTCCTGCTTTCGCTGCCTCATGCTGCTCCAAAAAAACAGAAGCAGTCGCGAAACATCAGAAAGCAATCGATTCCGCCGCGTGAGAAACGGCGACTTCCCAACCGTACATTGCCAAAGGTATAGCCAGCCGCTGGCTGATAATTCAGAGAGAAAATGCGCTATTAGTGGCAAAGAAGATAGAGAACAACTGACTGGCAAGTAGCACACACAAGATGTAGGCGGAGGCTCAACCCCCCCGCAAGGCCAGGCCTTGGGGAGGTGGAAGGCACCACAAACGTTTGGCACGGAGGGATGTAGTGATACTCGATAGAAGACCTAACTTGCTACTACTAGGCCACTGAGTCAGCCGCTGCCTGGTAGCAGCAAGGTCAAGGGTGGAAAAGGACAAGATGACGAGCCTCTAGCACTTTCCGACTCGCGGGAGAAAGCCCCACGCCCACCCCTTCGACGCCATGGGGACAGCCGACAAAAAGAACACGGCCGGCGAAAACCATTAATGTCTGCTTTGAATCACGTCACGACCTGCACACGGCGGCGGCGGTGATTTTGGTCGTGGAACACGCACCCACCGCCTAACCGTGCGAACATGCTACATGTCATTTCATGCTCCAGACAGCGGCCGCGAAGCATGCTTATTCACCACTCATGTAGCTAACCTCTCAATGAGTTCTCACTTTTCTTCTGCCCGTCTCATGGTTGCCACGAGATCCTCGAACCAGTATGCTTATTTCACCACTCATGTAACTAACCTCTCGATAGTTTCTCACTTTTCTTCTTCCCTTCTCATGGTTGCCACGCGATCCTCGAACCAGTCCAAGGTCTTGTTCCTACGCTCCGCCTGGTGGCGGTCTCTGAAACGGTTGAAGCCCTTCCATTCCTGAACGACCTTCGTAACGACCGGCGCGACCACCTACTGGAGAAGGCAGCATCCAGAAACGGCAGAAACTGCCTTTGGGCTTCGAATTTTCCCTCCATTGGTCGGTTGCCCTAAGAAAACACCTACATTTTGTATGCTAGGGGGCCTGTTTTATGAAAAACAACGGTGTAACAACAACAACGGCAGACGACATTGAACCGTGAAAACATGCTGTCGAGAGGAGTTGTAGCCCGAGGGAATCGATCTGTAGCAGCAGCCTCGATGCCTGGGTGGGTACGCTCTGATTTTCTCTGGAGAGCAGAAACAAGGGAGGGAGAGGGTGCGGTTGAGACGCGAATGGCTACGCACTGTTGCACTGCTTCCCTCTCTTCACCTGCGTCTTGACGACGTATTCGCCGATCCTGAGAGTCAACATCGCGCTTTTCTTTACTTTCTTGAAGCCGCGTGAGGCAGACTTAGCCGTTTCGCTGCTCCCGATGGACATTTGCGCCGTGTGTATCCCGGTGTTTATCGCGTGGGCAGCAAGCGCCTTGACCGACCTCTGGTCCGATTTGTCCAAGGAAGGGGCCAGACTTGGGGTTGAAGCCTTTTGGGGGCTCCCGGTGGTCTTCACCTCTCGTGCCGTCCTGGCGAAGATGTGTTTCCCAGTTCTGGGATCAATAACTAGATGGGTGGGAACGCGAGGAGAGGGAAGATGCTTGCTCCTACACCACTTTCGAACGTTGTCCACGTACGTAGCCCGTTTGAGGCGGCGCCCGGCGGGGGGCGGGGGGAACCACACAACGTGTGGCGGTTTGCAGGTAGCAACTATTTACATAGAGTAGTTTCTCGGTTTTTTCGTCCGTGTGGAAAGCGTATTTAACAGCTTACGGCAATGCTCCGATGGCAGTCCAGAGAAAACATTAGCCCATCCCGGCATAGTTACTGTATGAATGACATGTTTGATACGATGGAACAATACTCTACTAACTGACACACACCGGCGGATGGTTGCGATGTAAAAAAACGTTGCGACAGCAACGATCATGCTTGACAATTCACGCACCATCGTCTGCATCGAGGCCAGCATCCAACGAGAACTCGGAGGAAGAGGTGGTCGTACTCCCGCCGACGGCGCCGCCCCGTCCGGTCTTCGACGCCGACGACGTAGTCGATGATCCCGACGTGCTGCTCGTGGTCGTAGATCCCGAGGTGGTAGATTCAGACCCGGATGTCGTGGACGCCGAGGTTGAATAGGAAGAACCGGTTGTCGTGGTTCTCGATCCAGAGTTGCTGGAAGCTCGAGAATTACTGGTAGAGGATCCCTGTGATGCCGGATCGTCGTCGTCTAGTGGTAGCGGCACGGTGTAGTCCTTGTCTCGCAGGTCCGTCACCGCTACGGATGATGCCGCTCTCGATTTGTGTCCGGAGGCGCTGAAGCTAGCGTTGGCGGCATTTCTGCCGCTGCTTGACCTCGTGCTGGACGTCGTGCTACTGCTGCTGCTGCTGCTGCTGCTACTGCTGCTGCTGCTGCTGCTGCTGCTGCTGCTGCTGTCGGTGGAGTCGTTGTCATCGCCATCGTCGAGGTTCCGCTTGAACGCTTTCGCGGTAACCTCCACACGGCCAGACGGGGGAGGCAATACACGTACGTTCATTCATTTTCTGTGAGGGCTGTGTTGTAGGCATCGTGGGTTGAAGGTACAAGAAGCTGTCTTGACGTTGGTTTCACCTCAACCTCATGCAGGCGTGTGGGCAAGGCGTGTCCAGATTGGCAGCGCAATGTATACAGTTTCGCGTGTCCTCCCGCCCTACTATTATACTACTGCTATGCCGGGACAGGTCGAAGTATACTTTGGACGGCGGGCAGACCGCCAACAACGTGGCCCCTACACATGTTGTCACACCTTTACGAACGGTAGAGGCATCATCGTTACAGCGAGCGAGGGCACTCCTGGTTCTACGTGACGCTTGTTAAGTCGTCCTGATGCATTCTCTCGAAACGAGGGGCAAGCTACACAGTACAAACGCCCCGTGTCGTCTCGTCGTCGAGCTACAAAACAACGGGGCGAGGGGGGTTTCGTCGACTCTGCCGTGTATGCATAGAAAGATCCTGGAAATTTCCTGCGTTGGGCTGCTAGCTGGCACGCTTTTCATATTTCATCATATTTTCATGTCCTTGCTCTCTCGCTCGGACCAGTAGCACAGCGATCCCCGAAAAAACGTGCTGGTTAGTAGTGCAGTGATGCCTGGCCATGCAGTGATGCACGCCAGCAGTCCACCATCGTTCCGTGCTCGCCTTGCCCCTCAGGCGCCCACCCGCGGCGGCAGCAGCTACCGTTACGCATCAGCACCGAGGAGAAGTGATTGCAGCTACCGTGATACCCGAGACAACCGCTGCGGCGCACGATCACCGGTTGGTGCTGCTGCTGCTGGTCAGCGGAGGGAAGCAGCATCACCCCGAGCAGCAGCGGCGGATGGTAGCAGTGCGGCGGCCGCGGCAGAAGCGCTAGCCCTCGCGTCGGAGCCAACGATCGAGAAGATGGTCCCGATATCGACTACTCCCTGGAGCGGCCACGACGACGATCGAGGTCCTGCTCAGAAGGAGCAGCAAGAAGGCGCAACCATGGCGGCGGCGGGAGGCAGCAGGGTGGATGCCGCGCTGGTCTCTAGAGGAGCGCTCCGGAGCGGCTATCTCTGGAAGCTGGGGGCCAACGTGCCCAAGTGGAAGCGGCGCTTCTTCGTGCTCAAGCCCATCACGATGCTCTTCTACTACATGTCCGAGCACGATACCGAGCCTCGCGGGTGCATCGACCTCGACCTCTTTGACGCCGTGCGAGAGGTGCGAAAAGACTCCGGTGGTTACTCCGCAACGACAGCCGCCGCGGACACCAACAACACTAGCGGTGGCAGCGGCAAGAGGGGGGCCACGAGCACGGCATTCGAGCTGTACCGCTCCGGCTGCCCGGACGGCAGCGGGTTCATGCTGGAGGCGAGGGGCGGCGAGGACTGGGAGCAATGGGTGGAGTCCATCGCGAACGGCAGGCACGGAAAGCTGCAAGCCGAGATGGACGTGATGAGAGGCGCCAACAAGGTGGGTTGGGTTATTGGTTTTCTGCGCGCGCGGCAATTGTGACGTCTCATGAAGGCTCTCTCTTCACACTACTGATGCTGCTGTAGCTGCTACACTGCCGTGGGCGCCAGCGGCCATCGAGTTATGGAAACTACAGCAGTACGTGCGTTTCATCTGCCAACCTCCCCCGCGTTTTTACCTTCAACCCTTGCTGGTTTTTAGACACCAAGAGGTTGCTCTTTCCTGATCCATCCGTGTGCAATGTGTGTGGCGAGTGGCTCTCTCTTTCATGACATTCTCTGTTCTCTCAAATTTGTTTGAACCGATCGGACCAAATCCGCCGCTTTTAGCATGTCAGGTTGCATCTACAACGCCACCTGACGAAGCCATTGATTGAGAGAATGAACGTGACATCGCAAATATTTTCTCGTGTGTTCAGGACGCACCGCACTGAGTTGACAGCACTCGTACTATGGTTGTTATCCGTGGTACACAGAAGTGAAATGCGTACAGCGGTACTTGTAGTATCACGCGGACCAGTATATATACGACGACGAGGCTGCGAAGGGTTTGCTGCGGAGACGAAATCAGATTTCGGAACGTGTAACCCCTTCGGTCACGAAAGCTCCGCACGCACTATTATCGATCCCGCGGCAGGCAGCTCTCTTTTTGTTGCTCCGTGTGGACTTTGCCGCTCAGGGGAAGCAACCCCTACCAAAGAGATACCGTTGCACTGAAAATTCTGCCAAGCAAACTCGAGATGGAAAGTAAAAAAGTGCCTTGACGCGTCCATGCGGTTGACCAAGTGGCGGCGCGGTTTTCACAAAACTTCGACTCCTGATCTTTTGTGGTGTATAACATCTCGAGCGGGTACTCTTTCACGTGATTGCACAACAGCAGCTTTTTTTTTTGCCAAAAATACAACGCACGAATCACGGCTATGTACCACTCCCCAAAGGGGTGCCGTTGTTGACACGCTCTGGGTAAATAAAGGTCCCTGCCTGCTCTGCAAAATTTCCAATGGCCGACAGCTAGAACACAATTGGGAGGTCAATGCAGCCGTAAAGAAAATAATAAAAGGCCTTGCTTCTTTGTGTACTACTGATGGAATAGGTGGCAACGGTCACACGATCAACCCTGGGAAGACTCGGCGATGTGTCTGTGCCCTTCCGTTGCTTACAGACCTCACTGCGGCTGCGTTGTGTTTTGTACAACGATAGCAGTTCCAGCTGCTCACCGTTGCGGTGCTCATCTAAAGCAGGCACGCCCCTTATCTGTTCAAAAGGACGCTGGTGGAGTATCATTCTTTTGTTACTCCTGAGCATCATGAAGAGGCAAACCCTTTGGGAGTGGTTAATTCTCTTCTCTTTTGGGCTTTGACATCAGGAACAAACCACCACCCTCTCGGTCGGTTCCCCAAGAGTTCGGGTGTTTTTTGTTCTTGTGAGAATGGCGCCAAACATTACAACAAACTCCCCCCCAAGCAACTAAAGCGGCATGTGCTGGTATGTGTCGCCGTTGTATATATATGGGTAGCACCTCCGCCGTATTTGTACTGCGGGGTGATGGAGAAGCCGCGCCCGTGAAAGTAGGGTGCGGAGTATGCACCTCTTGTCTAGTACAATGCTCACTTGCTGGAAGGACTTGACACGTCTTGCTGCAACACGCCCCTTTTGTTTGGGGTGTTCCCTCGAACGGGAAGACTTTCGGTGATTGCTTGCCACATGCATATAATTGTATCCCTGGTGGTGTGCGTACTTGTTGAGCTAGTCACGGCGTGGCCCACGCATTCCGATATCTACATACAAACGTATCTTAAGGTCTCTATGCATAAGATAGCACAACATGCACACACTCTTCAAGCTAACGATATGTACGCGTCTTTCTTGCTTTGCTTGCCCTCCACGACCCGATTATTTTTTACGTGCACTCGCAGCTCCTGCTGGAGGAGATCAGCGGCCTGGAGCAGCAGGTCGCCACCTTCCGCGGGTATGCGGACCAGCGGCACGTGACCGTCCTCGCTCTGCGGGATGAGCGGCACCGCAGCCGCGAGGTGGCGGCCGAGCTCGCCGCGCTCGGCGACACCGCCTCCGCCCTGTCGCACCTCATCGCCGAGGGCCTCAAGGGCGGCGACGGGAAGCAAAGCGGCGGCGGCGGCGGCGAGGAGGAGGAGGAGGAAGGCGCCCATGCGCTGGCGGCGGCCGGAGAGTCGCCACCGTCCATGGCCTGGAGGTCCAGCGGCAGCGGGGACCTGGACACCGCGCGATCGCGGTCGCCGTCGGCCCCGCGAGACGAGTTGTCGACGGCCGTTTCTCGAGACAGCGGCGGCGGCGGCGGCGGCGGCGGCGATGGCGGTCGGCCCCGGCAGGAGCAACTCACCGAGCAGGGAGCCGACGAGCGGCTGTCCCTCGAGGCCGTCAGGAGAGCGTTGGGGGAGGCCCGCGCGGAGCTCGGCCGCAGGGGGCGGGCCCTGGAGCGGGAGGCGGACAGGAGGCGGGAGGTGGAGGGGGAGGCGCGGCTCGCCGAGAGGCTGGTGAGGGCGGCGGAAGAGCGGGCGGTTGGCGCGGAGGCGGCGACGGCCCGGGCGAGCGGGAGGGTGAGCGTGCTGGACCGGAGCATGGAGTACCTGAAGACGCAGCTGCGGGCGCTGAGGTGAAATGTGTGGATGGAAGTACGGAGGATCTATTGCACATGCATCGCGAACGTTTTAGGATTGGCTCCCACACACGCGCACAATCCAACTCTTGCCCTACGAAACATGTCGGTGTTAAATGGCCACGTCAGACTCTTTCACGCAAAACGCAGCAGCTAGGCTATAATGCAAGCATCAATTCTGGACCATTCAAGGCGAAACCGCTGTCGTAACACAAAAAGCCTAACCAAAGAGCATCCCCCACACACCCACCCACCCCTCTGCAGAGCCGAGCTCTGCCAGGCGCGGCACAAGAACCAGCTGGTCCGGGCGCAAAAGGCCGTCCTCAAGAAGGAGGTTCGCGACATGTTGTCGAGACAAGCATCATCGTCCGTTACCGCCGCCGGCGCCTCGTCGTCGTCCGCCGGTCGTCACCAGCGGCGAGCCGGGGGAGGCGGGGGGGCTTGGCGTTCCCGTGCCCGCACGTGGGCGTCGATGGGTGACCTGGCGGAAGCCGACGTTGCCCCTGACGTTACCGGCGGCGGCGGCGGCGGCGTTGATGGGACCGCAGGCGGGAGCAAAGGAGCGGGTGTGCGGTGGGCCAGCAGGCGGCGCTCTTCGACGTCGGAGTGTTCGACGGCGGACGTTTCGACGGTGGCGATAGAGGATGACGACGGGGGAAGGATTGGCGGCGGCAGCCAGCGCCGCCGAGGGAGCATGCGGTCGTGCTTGTCTCGGGACAGCCTGGCGGCGGCGTCGGACGGCGGGGACACCGACCTGGCGGATAGGACTTGTTCGGAGGTGCGTGGGGTCCACGCGATGGTGTCCGCACAGCAACAGTGTTGGCGGCGACGCGAGAGTCGTGCAAATGGTTTCAAGGGCTGGTTTTGTTGACTTTGCTTGACTCCGTCTGTGTTGTTCGGAGCCTGTCGGCGATAATAGATGGTTATTTGGAGGTTGAACGTGAGAGAGATGAGGCAAGAGAGAGAGAGGCAAGAAGAAACGTTTGGGTGAGGCCGACACTGGGAAGAAGATGGAAAAACGCTGGAAGAGAGGTATCCCATCACCTCCATGGCAGTTGCCATGGTCATCACTTGCTTTATATTTTCTTGCCTTGTAACCTCTGCCTCCCACGCTGTCTCGCCAACGCCACAGGCCTCCGATCTGGAAGAGAACCAAGAAAACATCGTCTTCCACAGCAACATCAGCAGCCAGTTCCGGGAGGGCGTGTGTCGTACCATCCGCAAGCGGGTCGGGCCCCCGCGAGTGCCGTCCCTGCCGCCGTCACGCCACCGACGAACCCTTGCCGCGGTAAAGAACCTCAACTCGTTCCACGACGCAACGGCGCTGGCGGCGACACAGCTGCAGCAGCAGCAACAACAGTCCGAAGAGGCGTTTGGCAGCGGCGGCGGCGGCGGCGGCGATGACCACGGCGTGGGTGGGTTTTTCGCGGAAGCAAGCGGCGGCGGCGACGGCGGCGGCAACGGGGCTTCTTCTGCAGCGCCGGCGGTGGCCGGGCTAGCGGTGGCCGGCAAGTTCCTCGGGCTCAACAAGGGCATGGTGGACAAGGCCGCGCAGGAGATGGGCAAGAAGCTCGCGCTTTGGCCGGGGGCGGCGGGGATGGGCGGGGCGGCGATGACGAGCGTATGCTCGCTGGGTTCCCTCGCGGCGGGCGCGATAACCGGCGTGACCAGCAACAGCAACAGCAACGCCGCCGCCGGCGGAGCCGGCAACTACCACCCGCACACCCCCTTGGGGTCGCCCCGGTCGGCTTCAGCGAGCGTTTCCGCCGCGCTAACCGACTCGCCGGTGCGATGGGACCCGTCCTCGCAGCACGGGTCCACGGTGTCGACCGACCTGGGTCTCGGAGAGATATCCGGGGCGGAGTGGGAGGCCTGCGTGAACCGCGGTAGGCAGTCGCTGGACGCCAAGGCGGCGGCGGCGGCGGCGGGTGGTGGCGGGGTAGGCGCGGTGGCGGCGAGCGCCCTCTCTGCCGCCGTCGGGGGCGGGCTCAAGAGGGTGAGCTCGTCCCGCACCGCGCTCATCCAGCTGTCGGACCTCGAGCTTGCCGAGCCGTGCGGGAGACGAATCGGCGGAGGTGGCGGCGGCGGTGGTGGCGGCGACGAGACGGGAAGCAGCAGGCCGAGGTCGTCGGCCACGCCGCCGTCGTCGCTTTCGTTGGCAGCGGCAGCGGCACCAACCCCGTCCTCCTCCAGCAAGCGGCGGCTGTCGTCGGTCCTTCCCCCGCGGCCGGACGACGAGTACGAGCTCCTCTTCACGACCAGGGTCATCGGCCTCCAGTTCCGGGAGCTCCTCGACGGCACCGGCGTCTGTGTCGCCGGCTCCGAGGGCTACGTGGGGCCGGCCCCGACTACCGGAGTCCCCGGCGAGCGGCTGTGCCCGGACACCGGGGACGTCCTCGAGTCCTACAACGGCGTCTCGGCCCGCGGGAAGCCGGCGGACGTCGTGGCGCGAGAGCTCGCGCAGTGCGGGCGGCCCCTCCGCCTGGGGTTCCGGTCTACCCGCGCGGAAGAAGGGCTCCTAGCGGAAGAGGAGGAGGGGGAGATGGAGCCCGCGTGGGTGGGGGGTTCTCGGCCGCGGGCCCCCCTCCTCGAGGAGGGGAGCGGCAGCGGCGGCGGCGGCACGTGGGGGGGCGGGGCGGCGGCGGTTAGTAGTAGTGCTTCGTCGTGCAGGGATGAAGCTTTCGCCGGGCCCTCGCAACACCCGTGGGCGGTGTCGTCGTAGAGCGCAACACGTTGTTGTTGCTGTGAGCTTTTTTTTTTTCGGGGGGGGGGGGGAGGGCATGCCGGGAGGGAGAGGTAATGGTTAATGATGTGGGAGGTCCAAGGTCCCAAACGTTGCTGCTCCACGAGCAGCGTGAGGGACGCGATCTCGAGAAGCGCGGCGCCGCCGGTGTGTTTTGTGTGTTTCCGTGTATCTTTCATGCATGATGTTGCGGTATCCATAGAATATAATGTCACGCAAGGAGGGGCGTATCTTGGTGCAAGAAACTGAGGACACTGCTGCTGTTGTTCGGGGAACGAAGAGGTGGGGCCGCTTTTTGGCGCGCGATGCCGCCCCTCCTCGGCGACAAGAACGACATGTTCTGTTGTCGTTCGCCATGGTTGCATGATGCCCGCGGGGCTTTCGTGTGGACGCAGCAGCAGCTGAGCCGCGGGCATGTCGCTCGAAGAGGGATTTTGTTGTGTCATGTCTGAAAACCTGCTTGTCTGTAGCGGTTCACGAGCTTTTGAAAGGAGTTACTGGATGTTGGAGGGCTGGACTTTAGTTTGCAAGAGTGTGTTAAGCGCCACATCAAACATACATGTGACGGACGCTGTGTGTCTGCGTGAACCGGTTGACTCGTAGGCTTTTTTGTCAGTCCCCCTTTCTACCGTTGTACGCAAGAGAATGAATGCATGGCCTCTTCTCTAAATCGATGCTGTTTTTTGTAGTGCTGTGTACTTGTGAGGTTTGCAATAGAACGGGAGGCGGCGTGTTATTTTTTTTTTCCCGTTTCCTTCCCGGGAGGCCGTTTCAAAAAGAAGGGCTGCCTTTTTTCGCGGGCATCACTGAGTTGTATTATTTATTTCTTCACCTCTGTCACTAACGTGTAGGTATACTACGGCCGTAGTTGTCGACGTGGAAAGGAAAAAGGTCGTGGAAGTCGTTGTATTGTTTTCTACACGAGTCCCCCAGCCAATTTTGCTCTTGTCGTGTTTTGTCGACTCGAGGAGCATCGGCAGGGTCTCTCCCTCTATCGGGATGATACCGTTTCTTCCCTAGAAATATTCTACCGCAGCAGTAGTGGTACATATGCGACGACGTTGTACCGTTCGACGTGTGTGCTCTGCCGTGGCTACTTTTTCATGTCGCAAGCCCAGCTGTTTCTTCTAGTTGTTTTACGTGGTGGTGCGTGGTAATATAATGCGTGGCGTTTTTGACGGAATCATCTAGTGGCAAAAAACATGGTACCCGGCTAATCGCTGAAACCCTTTGGTTCCTAGAAGGACCCGTCACTCTTGAAACACGCACGGGTGAAGCAAGTTGTTGAAATTATGGTCGAAGGACATGCATACCTGGTATTTGTTGGTCAGTCTTGGTTATATTATAGACTACCAATGTAGTTTCCGCGTTTGTTCGGAGTGTTACATGCGCGGCGTTTCCGTTCTGCGGCTGGCTGGCTGGCTGTCGTCCAGGACCATGCAACAAAGAAAAAAAATGTACTGCGAATGTGACATTATTTCTTTTGTTTTTTCGCCTAACATATTGGGGTGTATTTTGTGGTTCCCCTCCGCCAATAGTGTACCGCGGTGCGCACCTTGGAGAGGGTTTGGGTGTTACATCACCACAGACCGTGTTCACCAGGCGGCTGGCACGTCTCGTGCATGTCAACGGATGTTCGTCGAGCGGCGTGTTACCATAGAGGTCAACTATCTCACACGGTGCGCTTGCTGTGACGCGCAGCCCTCAGAGCGGTCTTTTGTCTTTCGTGGCGTGACTGCCTGCCTCCTTCCACCAGACTACCCATGCCATGTCCTGCATGCACTGCTACGGAAGAATGGGTGGCAAATTTAGCTTGGTGCGGTCTTTCGTCTTTCGTGGCGTGACTGCCTGCCTCCTTCCACCAGACTACCCATGCCATGTCCTGCATGCACTGCTACGGAAGAATGGGTGGCAAATTTAGCTTGGTGAGAACCAGGGGGCACCCAACGGGCAAGATTTTACAGTTTCCACAAACCGACGACACCCCAGCACCATACGCTGCATGACAGGATCTTGTGTTCGTTGCCATGGCATTCTTGTTGCGTATTGATGGATGGATTTTTATGGATGCATCGTGTAGTTGCGTCTGTCTCTCCCCGCCCCTGGGTGTGCCAACAACGGGCGGGCTTGGCTTAATAGTACTAGTATTCCTGTTAATTTTCTTTTCCGGGCAATGTCTTGTCGTTCCATGCCAACATTGCCACGCTTGGCAACAACCGAACCGCGACTTCTATTAAGAACGGCCAAGTCTTGGAGGAACAGCACTCACACTCCCTAAGCGAGAATGCTTCATGAAGTCATATGCCATTTGCACAACGCTCTCTCTTGCTTGCTTCTCTTCATCCCGTGGCTGAGACTCGCCCCCCCCCCCATCGGCTGTCCTCTCGAGAAAATATCATCATCTCGAATGACGATCGCTCAGCTGTGTCGGACCACACAACAACGCCTTCTACTGCTGCCGGTGGTTCGATGGCTTTATAATATCAGCTATCTCTGCTACACTACCTTCGCTCCCAAAACGAGTGGAAGACTTGGGACTTGGGGGTCGCTGTGAGCAACGACGTCGTCCGTCTGTACCACAGGCGTGATCCCCAGGCAAAAGCGGGGGGTGAGCTCGTTGTATAGTCTAGAGACGGCCTTCGGCTTAAGAATGTACCGGCGTCTGCAACACGTCCTGCCCTAAATCCGAATGCCGTTACAATATTATTGCTTCTGGACAAAAATATGCAAGCAGCAAAAAGCATGTGTCGTTCGTTCAACCCAGATCTACAGTGTAACGACAACCATTTAATCAAACCGTATTTTGCACAAGAAACAACGAGCGAGGTCGCTCCCACACTCCAGGCATCAGATCTACAACAACAGTAAACAGTAAAATAGTACCGACGGTCACAACCATGTTGCCTTGTATAAGCACGAGAAACAGCGAGGCCGCTCCCAGATGCCATCCGTTGCCGTTTGGAGCTGTCTCCGGCGGCACGTTGATCTATTTCAACCCGGGGGGTTGGAGCAAAAGGCGACGATAAGGCTCAGGCAGGCTCGGACGGACGCAAAGTGGTACACATCAACACCTTCACAGCAGTCTCAGATCTAGGGCAGTGGTAAGACGTTCGTACGTTGGTACAAATCAGCACCCTTGACAGCGGTTTCGCAGCTGTAATATTGCGTTTCGGCTCAGGCGGCGGGGGACTGCTATACCTACGCTACGTACGGGGGCGGCGACCGACCGCCGCGGCGTCGAACGAAAATGTTACAACGGGCGTTATACTGGTTTTAGTGTAGGGGTTCTTAACCCCGGCCGGCACACCCAGACATTTGACAAAGCAAACAAGGAGGGCGCAACGAAAGCAGCGTGCATTTAGGTATGCGCGTGATTCATTCTAGTACCGGAATATTCGCGATGGTCGATACCCACGCAAAAAAAAAAAAAAGTACCACCACCACTCCCCGCTATAGGGCAACTCCTTCACCGGCCGCTAAACAAAAAATCAGCCTCGTGTGTGTGTGTGTATCATCAGTTCAGCATCTTGAACCAACCGCAGAGAGATGCAGACAAACCAACCGCAGATAGTAGATGCAGAAAGACTGATCAAGGCGGAGAATGTGACGGCTTGGAGCCCTCAGCTTGCCGGCACTCTTGTCGCCGCTCCCCCCTTCCCCGTCCCTGCCGGCGACGGCGACGGCGACGGCGTTGCGGGCACGACGGCGGCCGGCGACGGCGCTCCGCCTTCCCCCGGCCGTCGCCCGATGGCCTTGCCCGCAGGGCTGCTTTGGGCGCCGCTAGCGCCGGCCGCCTTTAACGAACGGGTCCCAAATGCACGGGGGGGGGGGGG